CCTTCCTTCCTTCCTTCCTTCCTTCCTTCCTTCCATCCATCCATCCATCCATCCATCCATCCATCCATCCATCCATCCATCCATCCATCCATCCATCCATCCATCCATCCATCATTAGTCCTTCCTTCCCATCCACCCATCCAGCTCTTTCTTCATTCATTCATTCATTCATTCATTCATTCATTCATTCATTCATTCATTCATTCATTCCTTTGTTCTATCCATCATCAGTTCCTTCCTTTGTTTGTTTGTTTGTTCGTTCGCTCGTTTCTTTCTTCCTTCGTTCCTTCCTTTGTTCCTTCCTTCTATCCATCATCAGCTCCTTCCTTCCTTCCTTCCTTCCTTCCACCCATCATCAGTCCTTCCTTCCTTCCTTCCTTCCTTCCTTCCTTCCTTCCTTCCTTCCCTTTCTCTCCCTCCCTTCCTTCCACTATCAACTCCTTCCTTCCTTCATGCATTTATCCCACCCAATTCGTGGCAGAGCTCCTACCCTGGGAGGCAAACAGATCATAAAAACAAAGTACTGTACAAACTACCCCAATAACACCCACATAATCAAAAGATCAAATTCCTAGTAAAAAAAAATAGAGTATAAAATATTAAAAAATATTGAACACAATAAAGGCAGCAAAAAACAGGGAAGGTAGACGCTTCCAGAAGCTTCCGTTCCCATTTTGTTTGCCAAGATGGGACCAGGGAAGGAGGTCACAGAAGAAAGATGATGTGGCTCATTGCCTGATTTTATCTACCCTTCCTGCACATGGAAGAGGAGGGGTTTTCTTTTGGACTGTTTTTCCCCAAAAAATCAGTAGGGATTCGGCGAGCCAATTCCTCCGTCAGTGCCATTGATCCCAATAGGTCTACTTGAAGTGTGACTTTCTTTAGCATTTTAAGTTGCAATTTGAGTCAGCTCATTTAAATCAGCAGGACTCTCAGACGAGTTGACTCGCTAAATCCCCGTTGATTCAGTGGGGCTGGTCTCGTGGAATTCACTATGCTAAGCAACAGGATTCTGGCCAGTGTGTGGTGTGCCTGAGCAAGGTTTCTAACCATGACTATGCAAGCATTTTTTGTTTGTTTCTCCTTGACCGGCCACCATGGGAAATCTTACAAACCTGTCAGTAAACATCAGCCTTACTAGATCAAGCTGGGGGTGGGTAGGGCTGATACTCAGAACAACAAGCATGCCAAATATTGCCATACTTCAATATTCACTTGCAAGACTCACAATACTGACATTTCAATATTCACTTTCGACACAAGCAAAGAGCAGAGCAGAAAATGAACATGCTTTCTGACCCTATACAGTGGTGCCTCGCTTAACGATTTTAATTGGTTCCAACAAATTTGTCGCTAAGTGAAAACATTGCTAAGCGAAACGCGGTTTCCCATTGAAATGCATTGAAAAACGGATAATCCGTTCCAATAGGAATGAATTGCCGTCCTTAAGCGAAAATCGCCATAGGAAACATCGCTAAGCGAAATGCGGTTCCCCAATTGAAATGCATTGAAACCTATTCAATGCATCTCAATGGGGGGAAAAATCAACAACAAATTAAAAAAGAGTCAGAACAAAGTCAAATTTGGTTAACAAAGGGTTTATTAAGTGCACTTTATGATTTCAAACATTTTAAACATTTAAAAAACAGCAAATATGAGGCTGTTTAAACCATCGTTAAGCAAAACATGGGACCCAAAAATTTAATCGTTATGCGAAGCATGGTCCCAACATTGCTAAGCAAAAATCGCACATAGGGACCATAGTTAAACAGAGCGCAAAAATGCTCTGAAAAAGTCATCGCTAAGCGAATTCATCGTTAAACGAAGCGCTCGTTAAGCGAGGCACCACTGTATATTGTTTTGATGCAGGGTACAATCCTTTTAAGCTGGCTGGATTGCTTCGTGGTTCAGAGATCTGGCTGTGGAGCCAGAGGGTTGGGAGTTCGATTCCCCCCCACTGTGCCTCTCTGGGAGAAGAGCCAGCCTGGGTGGCCTTGGGCCAGCTGCACCATCGTCCCAGGGCACCCCCCTGGAAGAAGGGAAGGGAAAACCACTTCTGAATCTTCTCTACCCAGAAAACCTTAGAGAGGGTCACTCACAAGTCAAAAATCAACTTGATGGCTCATGATTATTTTTCTTAGCATCCTTTTGTTTCTGTAACAGCTGCCGAACTCCTACTCCTTCACTGACTGTGAAGATGCTCCAGAATTTTTGGACAACCGCTCGCATTGGCTCCAGCCAGTACAGCCATGTTGCCCAGTATCCGCTTTGCTTGCAGGAGGCATCACCGGTGGCATTCCCACCTCAAACACGTCACGGGGTAGCAAGCGAAGGAGGCAAATCCTGAGGAGCTAGAAAGCCAGCATCTCAGGTCCTAGGCCGTGTGAAGTCATGAACATTTCCCTTTGGTGAGTCTCGGTAGAATTACTGCTGTGACAACTTGGGAGGCAGTTCACAAGGGAGACGACGGGGTTAGCTATGGTTCTGACTAAGCAAGAGGATAAGGGGACGGCAGAGGACGAGATGGTTGGAATTTGACCCAACTCCAGGAAGCAGTGGAAAGACAGGAGGGCCTGGCGTGCTCTGGTCCATGGGATCCCGAAGAGTCGGACACAATGACTAAACAACAAGCAACGGGAAAGGGCCGCCAATTGGGAACATTACTGCAACTAGTGTACCTGCAGGAACATCCAGGTGCATCAGAGCTTTGGAAAGTTCTGGCCTTACCACAGATCAATAATGACTATCAAAGCAATCATGCAATCATGCAAGGGAAATACTGGTGGACCCAAGTTTTTCCATTCAACATTAACGAATAAATATACCACAGGGATAAAGTGCTACACACCAATAGAATCCAATTTAATTCGTTCTTTTCTTTACCTGGGCATATTTTGCAGCATTTCCCTTCCACCTGTTCAGGGTTGGCGCAGGGGTATTCCTTTGGGCACGAGACCTTCTGGCAATCCTGGCTCCCGTCTCTGCAGGTGCACAGGATGCAAGGCAGGCGCACGACGTGGCGGACGGTGGGGTGCCACACCTCCCCGTGGGAGTAAGTCTTCCCGTTGTACAGACACGCTGGAGGGAAAAGAAGAAGAAGGGGGGTTGCAAAAGAAGGCAATCCCAGATTAAAACAAATGACAGAGAAAGAGCTTGTGTATAATAATCTTAGAACTATGGATCATCGAGACCAGCCTTTCTCGTGGAAGCCCGGGGGGGAGATTCGAACTCCCAACCTCTGACTCTTTGACCTAAACCACTGAGCTATCCACAGAACTGTGGTGCTGGAGGAGGCTCTTGAGAGTCCCCTGGACTGCAGGGAGAACAAACCTATCCATTCTAAAGGAAATCAACCCTGAGTGTTCCCTGGAAGGACAGATCCTGAAGCTGAGGCTCCAATCCTTTGGCCATCTCATGAGAAGAAAGACTCCCTGGAAAAGACCCTGATGTTGGGAAAGTGTGAAGGCAAGAGGAGAAGGGGATGACAGAGGATGAGATGGATGGACAGGGTCATCGAAGGGGCCAACATGACTTTGACCCAACTCCTTGAGGCAGTGGAAGACAGGAGGGCCTGGCGTGCCCTAGTCCATGGCGTCACGAAGAGTCGGACACGACTTAACGACTAAACAACAATACCTGGGGAACCTGCAGCTATTCTCCTCTGTGGATCTCTGTATGTCTACTGCATAGCAAAAAGAGAATCTTACCAGAAATTCAAAACTCTGCAGTGTTACTAAGCCTGTAACTTAGTGTTCCATGGCCAATTTCATTCGCTTATTTGCTCGTTTATTCATTTAATAGGATGCCTTTCTCCCCATTCAGGGACTCAAGGCAGGATCTTCCTCAGGCAAGATTTTAAGGGCATTCCTGTGAATCCAGCCTACCTTTTTTGTGCCTCTCCTTCAGGATGATTTTCACAATTGTGCCACTTTTCCCATTTGGCCTGAGGTTTCTTCGGAGGAGCTCCAGCGAAGGACCCGCCGGAGGATCTGCCCTGCCTAAGAGGCCTTTGCTGTTGCCATCGTCCCCTGGACACCGCTCTTGTGAATGTCTCTAAAGAGCCAGAGGGCAGGTAGGCAGTGAGGGATCTTCCAGACTCTCGTCCTGCCCCTTCATAGATCGCCTCCTCTCCCCACCATTTACCAGGCTGGTTCATGGAAATTAACAATTATTTTTACAACTCACATCCATACACTCCCTCCCTCCCTTCCACCATCACCTCCTTCCTTCCTTCCTTCCTTCTATCCATCATCAGCTTTCTCCTTCCTTCCTTCCTTCCTCCTCCCTCCATCACCTCCTTCCTTCCTTCCTTCCTCCTCCCTCCATCACCTCCTTCCTTCCTTCCTTCCTCCTCCCTCCATCACCTCCTTCCTTCCTTCCTTCCTCCTCCCTCCATCACCTCCTTCCTTCCTTCCTTCCTCCTCCCTCCATCACCTCCTTCCTTCCTTCCTTCCTCCTCCCTCCATCACCTCCTTCCTTCCTTCCTTCCTCCTCCCTCCATCACCTCCTTCCTTCCTTCCTTCCTCCTCCCTCCATCACCTCCTTCCTTCCTTCCTTCCTCCTCCCTCCATCACCTCCTTCCTTCCTTCCTTCCTCCTCCCTCCATCACCTCCTTCCTTCCTTCCTTCCTCCTCCCTCCATCACCTCCTTCCTTCCTTCCTTCCTCCTCCCTCCATCACCTCCTTCCTTCCTTCCTTCCTCTCTCCATCAGCTCCTTCCTTCTTTCTTTCCTGTACTTGCCCTTTGCATGTTCCCTTTCACATGAATATTTTTTTCCTGGGGATTCATCAGCTCCTTCCTTCCTTCTTTCCTGTCCTTGCCCTTTGCATGTTCCCATTCACATGAATATTTTTTTCCTGGGGATTCAGAAACAACAAACAAAAAACATGGTGCAACCAAGCAAGGGTCAAGTTGGAATTTCTGCAGAAGGGCACAAGGGGGGGGGGGGGCGAGCAG